TATAATGGTAGCAGTTTCGCAAAAACAAAACAAAGTAGCATTCACACCTATGACGAATTATATCCGAGGAAGTCTTTTCATCGTTAAATGTAAGTTGTATAGAGTGCGAGTGTGTACCTAAGCCTGTCCCCTTACCAATGAAATGTCGAAACAAGCACGCTATCAAATAGATTTCCCAATATGAACTATGTCTTTCCTTCCCGACCCTTCTGTCAATCATAGATAGTCATGCATTACAACGGAAACCTTTTTCAGCAAGTGGCACAGGTTAGTGGCACACTAACCTACAATGTGGTCAAATTAACCGCCTAAGCAAAAGGAAGAGGTGGTTCAAGTTGAAGCCATTCTGCAAATGTTCAAACAGTTGCTAAAGAAAAATCTTGCCAAGAGGCTTATTCATCTTCTGTGAATCTTATCTTACATCCAATCACACCATCAACATCACACGAAGCCGATGGTATTACATCAGTGAGCAGATGTGATTGAACCTGTAAACTGGAACTGTGATTCCTATGTGCTATAGGAAATGATTCACTACTGCTAAAACTTAGCAATACAAAAACGATTTTAGGAATTAAAACTGCCAGTTTTCTTCTCTCAGTTCCTCAAACTGCCCAAAACAACATCTCAATGGTTTCACTGTAGCTTAAAAAAAACAAACCTCAGTTTAGAAGCACAGATTTTATGGTGAACAAACAAGTTTTAATTAGTTTCTTAGAGACAAAAAAGTAGTATTCGTGTGTTTATATTATATCTTTTTGTTTGTATCAGAATGTTGTCATGTTATGTTAGATTTGAATGACTTGTGTTTAAATCCCACTGTTTCCAGCGTGCTGCATCCCACTGCAGAATGAACCAAAAAAGCCAGGCATGCATGCTGCTTTGTAAAATGTATAATCTGGGTCACAACAGAACTGTTTTCTAGCTGTGCTTTTCTCTCTTTCTCTGACAGGTGCCTACATTTCCATTTGCCTCTAAGATGAATTGCATAAGAGCTGCACAACCAGCCGAGGAAAGGTGTGAAAAACAACAGGAACACGATCTGAAGCTTTTGTAAATGGTAAGGGGAAACAGACATTTGAAACCAAGTTCTGTCACAGGTGTCATCTTTGCATGTTTGGTGGCTGCGTACAAAGCATGAGCAATACAGTGAAAAAAAAAGGTGTGAGAAATATCTTGAGGTTTTGGGGGAAGGTAACTAAATCTTTGAAATGCTGATCTTGAAAATGATATAAAGTGAGATTTAACACTGATATGAGTGTCATAAAACGCTATCTTTTTTTTTGGTTTGTTAAGACATGCCAGGAGCTTATCTATCAACATGTAGCTGTTCATTCATAATTTCAGTTTGTTTTTTTCATTCATTTTGACGAGACTGCGTAGTCCAGGAGCTTTATATGAATGGTGTGAATTGCTGCTGTGTCTCTGGGCATGCATTCTGCACCAATATTCTTCACTACTACTGTTCTAATAAAACCAGAGTGAGATTTGTTTGTGTAAACAGACATGTAAGACAAAAAGATGCACAGCATGACTACACTATTATTTCACCGCACGTTCAGTCAGTTTTATGTTCTTTGCATAAAGTCTGCTTTTGAAAAATATGATAGTAACATAAATTAGACCTATAAAAGGGTGCTGTAGGGCAGTGGTTAGCACTGTCACCTCACTGCACGAAGGTTTCTGGTTTGAACATCAGTGGTCTCCAAAGGCATTTCTATGTGTGCATATCTTCTGTTGCCACTTTAGAGAACTTTTTCTTTTCTAAATTAGAAATAAGTGTGAATGTGTCGCCCTGACATGAGTAACAAGAAGAGTGCATTTACAACAATATTTGTGTTGTAATTTCTTGCTGTGAAAACTGTTTTAAAATTTGGATTTCATGTATGTTGTTTATTTTATATGCATTTCTTGTCCTTATTGCAGTTTTTCTTGATTGCTTGAGCACATTTTAGAATTGTTTTTAAGTTTTCAGGCCTGAAGCAAACAAATGCAACAAAACACTGGTGCACAATTCAGTTAAAGCAATACAGAAACGTATATTTGATCAACTTTTATGACACTGTCTTTCAATTTTGTGGCAAAACTAAATGGATGTATGCAAAGTCCATTACTTGTGTGCTATGACATTGTCATCTAATCTAAATTTGCAGTTTATAAATTTAACATATTCCAGAGAGTGTTTTACAGCTTTCAACTGATGTGTGAGGACATGTGCACATGCATGAATAATACATAACAAGTTAAACACTGCAAAATATACAAATAAGAAAACCAGACACTTCTCACTGAAATAAATCTGGTCAAACTGCATGATGATGGCTGATCTTTGGTGGTGACAGAGAGCTTAAGCTCATGTCTACCCCCCAAATAAAAGCTTTAAAAAAAGAACCCCATCAACATTTGTGATCAGTGGCCAGAAACAATGTGCCCGAACTTGTCCAGGATCGGAGCATATTTGCATGTAATATATGTCAAATACATATGACAAATTCAGCACTCAACACAATGCATTTCTTTTAAATCGTGTGTTTCTCTTAAATGGCAACAAATTCTGAAACACAACTTCCAAACCAAATGAAACTGATGAGTGTTTTCATTTTTAGTCTCTGATTTCACAGAAACGTTCACGGAAAGTGCGACTACGTTACTCACACAGTGACCCCGAAAGTGTTTTTACGTATTCATATCTCCACATTGGTGTAAAGGCCCTTTACTACTACTTTAACATAAACAGAAGGGCGACAAGGAGAAAGAAAATTTTACAATTTTTTTGAGAATTTATAAATATGTTAAGTTGTTTCTATTGTAGGCTTGTTTCAGACATCTGAAACACATAGTTTAACATTTTAAGTTTGTTAATTGTTTGTTTTTAATTAAAGGATAAAACTTTATTCTCAGCGTCTCGGAAAAAAGAGGAAATAAAAAATAAAACTTTTTAAAAGTAAGACATTTCTTCACAAAAATCCTCAAAAAACTGTCTTAGCAATTATTTCATTAAATTTCTGTAAACCATCAGACTTCTTATTTACAGCTTATGAGAGTTTTTATGCTGTCATAACGTACCCTGTGAGGTGGAGGAGGGTTTTTTTTTTGGTTTGTGTGCCTGAGCCTTTGTCTTATGTCAGCTTCCTTTGTAGTAGCTTTAGATGCTTTTATCGGGACTGCTAGAGGTAGAGCTCTTTTTCGCAGGGCAGATTTATGTGATCTACAATATCAGAGACTCCTAGTTTGGTATGTTTTTTATTTTATGCTGTTTTCAATCAGGCTATACTAGCTAAATTTCATGCATTTGTCATTCCTTGTTGTAAAATTTCAGTTGTGCTTACATAAGAGTACACACATTACATTGAACATTTAAACTGCACTCTCCCCTCTCTGCACAAATGCATGCAGTTAAGTATGTAATTAAGAAATAATTAAAATCGGTTTGTATTGAAAACAATGCAAACCATGAATTCTGCATATAAATTCAATTTGGAGTATGATTGAATTTTGATGCTTGCATTGCTTTCATTGTGCTCATTTGTTTTTCTGTTGTACGCACACCTTTAGCTCACAGTGACAGACCACAGCATATTAAACTCTGATGTGGTGTGAAGTGTTATAGTTTGCTATTATATTTTTGTCACTGAGTAAGTTTCCAGGTTTTGTAAAGATGAGATGTGATAGAGCTCTTTTGAATCCTTTACTTTTATGTTTATTGAAATAATAAATTCCATTTATTAAAAATAAAATCACAAAACTTGTATATATGTATGTATG